AAACAATTAACACCCGTACTAACAATATATTAAACAAACGTATATGACTCTTTGATTATCTGAAACAATTAACACCCGTACTAACAATATATTAAACAAACGTATATGACTCTTTGATTATCTGAAACAATTAACACCTCTACTAACAAGATATTAAACAGACGTATATGACTCTTTGGCTAGTACGGGTGTTAATTGTTTCAGATAATACAAGCTATCTTTCCTCTAGTCTATCAGTTCAAAATTATGGACGATTAGCGCAGATAATCTTCGAGTATCTTTGATAGAAATTCAACAAAACCAACTGTTCCTTCTTTCACTTCTTCGGTTTATAAAATTCTCGTTTTTGTCGTACGTTTCTTTTTTAACGTCTCAGCTTAACACAAGATCACGGTATTTCGTCTCATCGTGATTTGTAGGCCTTATATTTACATAAAAATACTATATAAAGCGCTTTTCCCTCTGTTGATATACGTTTTTGTTTTATATCAAAACACTGTAACAAGCTTTCTTTTTCAACGACCCTGCTTAACGCAAAAAATTGCTTTGGGTAATATTTACATTTTAAGTATTGGCTTTTAACAAATCTATTTGTGTCGTACTACATAATTTCGAATCCAACCCCTTCCTTCCTACACTTTGTGTTATATAATTATCTCCTTTCTTGATACGCCTTGTATTGTATTCTCTGTTTTATTTTACATCCCTAATACATATAACCTTTTCTTACTTATACTTCCCAGTTCAAGATTTTACCATCATATTCTAGTTCTATCTCATCTTTCATTCTTTTTTTTTACATCTTCTTATGTTAATCTCTGCTCATTGCTTCCTTAAGTATTTTATATCGTAATAAGTTCTTTTACACGACTTATACATTTGGTATCATAATCAGTTTTTTCATAGGCCTCTGTTAACAGCCGTTTTTTACTCTTTTAATCACACTTAATTATTTTATAGGCCCTGTATACAGCCGATTTATACACTTTGTATCGTAACTAGTTCTTTCGTAGGCCCTGCTTCCAGCCATTTCATACACTTTGTATATAATCAGTTTTTTTTCATAGGTCCTTGCTAACCACCGTTTTATACTATTTTAATCGCACTTAATTCTTTCAAAGGCTATCAATACAGCCGATTTATACACTTTGGATCGTATCATTCGTAGGCCCTTGTTTCATCCGTTTTATATACTTTGTATCGTAGTCAGTTGTTTCGTAACTGTTTGCTCTATAATAATTAATTCATGGTGTACCTGTATTTATACTCAAGTCAGTGTTTTTCTCATTTTTCGAAGAATCACATTTTCTGGGTTTTTACTTCATAAACCTTTCCTTAGTAAGAAACATTTATCGGTTGCTGTAAGTTAATACGAGCACTTTTCCTTCTTGCTATCTTAATTTATGTTCAAGATCTGTGTACAACAAACCAATACTCTCATAATTATCAATATATACTTAAAGAGTGTTTCTATACCTCCATTGTGAAGATCACATGTTTTCTGAGCGAGGCAAAGTGGTTAGTGTGTCTTGACTGTGAACCTGAGGATCCCTGGTTTGCAGTCAGCTGCCAGAAAAACGACTACGTATCTTTGTACAAAATTATGAATGAAACAATCAAACATATATTCTCTGTGTTGTCCACTTCTTATAGAATTATTTGACCAGCATCGTAAATAGTGCATCCATCGTCTCAAATATTGTTAACTTCAACATATTGAGCAGCTTTGATATCCACATTTTATTTTGTCCCCTTAAGTCAAAGGTTAAATCTTTCTAAGTTTAGGATCGATCTAACGAGTCTGCTCACTATGGAACGAAACATTTGGTTGGACTAATCAATGCGCAAGATGTTTCTTCTTGTTTTTGTCTAACCTGATTAATGGAAAATGAGGACTATATCCAGAAAACATATATTAATCGATTTTAATTTTTTTCTTACAGAACTTATTAAATTTTTATTACAAATAGTATGTGTACTATACAGGTTGAAACGAAAATTAGTTTTACATATATGGTTGTATAACTCAGAATATCAAATTTTTATAGTGTTGGTTGGTACAAAAAATCTGTTTTACTTTCATTGTTAAATAACCACATATTACCATACCTTTATACTGTAAGTTGGTACTGAACTTAGGTTTATTTACATTGTTGTGTAACCACAGATTAACATACTTCCATTCCATAGATAAATACTGAACTTAATTTTACTTTCATTGTTGTGTAACCAAATATCACCATACTTCTATTTTGTAGTTTAATACTGAATTTACTTTTACTTTCATTGTTGTGTAACCAAATATCACCATACTTCTATTTTGTAGTTTAATACTGAATTTACTTTTACTTTCATTGTTGTGTAACCAAATATCACCATACTTCTATTCTGTAGGTTAAAACTGAACTTAGTTTTACTTTCATTGTTGTGTAACCAAATATTACCAAACTTCTATTTTGTAGTTTAAAACTGAACTTAGTTTTACTTTCATTGTTGTGTAACCAAATATCACCATACTTCTATTCTGTAGGTTAAAACTGAACTTAGTTTTACTTACATTGTTGTGTAACCAAATATCACCATACTTCTATTCTGTAGGTTAAAACTGAACTTAGTTTTACTTACATTGTTGTGTAACCACAGAATACCAAACTTCTATACTGTACTTTGGTACTGAACTTAATTTTACTTACATTGATGTGTACTCCTAGAAGATCGTACTTCTGTCCAGGCGGTTTGTCACTTGGCAAAAACCTATAAAACTCCACATTATTTTTGTACCACTTCACGGAGTACAACTCATCTCCCTCCAAGTTATATCCACAATACATCCACACGGGGGCACCACGGGCAACTCCTTCAGGAACATTTAGCTCAACGAGCTTGAGACTGTGTGACCCTGTATACAAAAGAAGTTTTATGTTATTGAATACTTAAGCTCTCATTCAACATTATTATTCAATCTCTTTTATGAAACGTTTAGTTCAGGGTTTCGTTTCATGATTGAATGTCTTCATAAATGCATAATCGAAGATACAATATCTCCAGTGAAAAACACAAAGACCCCAGTTTTAATTAATCTATAACTCAGCTTTATTTTGTCTTGCAGGTCTCTGAAACACAATTAATCTATTGGAAAAGTATACAGTATGTTCACACATTGGCTGCCTAAGCATGGCAAACTTTTTTTTTGTGTGTTTTATTCAAGATGTTGGCTCCTATTATCAGGAACAAAACCATAATCAATATTTTTATGATTTTTAATTTAAAAGATTTTCAACACGGAATTATAGGACGTGATAAGAATATAGTCGATAGGATTTTATACAGAAGTTTCGATAGGCTTGAAGTTCATAGTCGATTAAATGGGACGAACATTAATGTTCAAAACTTCAGCTAGACCAGACAATAGTCCATTCTTGCTTTAAAGGTATAAAGTGTAAGCATCTCATCACTATTTCACATAATTCAGTTGGCTTATCCCATCATTCATGTCAGTTCAGACTTCAGCTGACGTCATTTGGAAACAATTAGCAAATTTTAATTAGCTAGAAAAAGAAAGCGTCAAGTATAACGATTAGCAATCTGTTATATTTAGAGATATTCTTATACTTGAAATATAAGTTAGTGTTCAAGTATACAATAACATTTGTTAAACTTTGAATAATAACATTAGTGCATTGTGTATTCATATGAGTATAGTTTATTCCAAGGTCCTATAATAAGTTATCCAGAAATAGGCATTACTTACACATCACACATATACCACTAAAAGCACTCAAAATAGGCGAACATAACTCATGTTGGTCATAGACGTCTGTTTAATACCATGTTATAGTATAGGGGTGTTAACTGTTCCTGATCATCAGAGTGTCATACACGTCTGTTTAATATCTTGTTAGTAGAGGTGTTAATTGTTGCAGATAATCAAAGAGTCATATACGTCTGTTTAATATATTGTTAGTAGAGGTGTTAATTGTTGCAGATAATCAAAGAGTCATATACGTTTGTTTAATATATTGTTAGTACGGGTGTTAATTGTTTCAGATAATCAAGGAGTCATATACGTCTGTTTAATCTATTGTTAGTAAGGGTGTTAATTGTTTCAGATAATCAAAGAGTCACATACGTCTGTTTAATATATTTTGGATGGTGTTGGCAAGTTACCTTTCTTCTAATTTATCATGGATGGTGTTGATGGTGTTGGCAAGATACCTTTCCTCTAGTCTATCAACCTTTCCTCTAGTCTATCATGGTTTCTTCTAATTTATCATGGATGGTGTTGACAAGATATGGTGTTGACAAGTTACCACCTTTCCTCTAGTCTATCATGGACAAGCTCCAACACCATCCATGATAAATTAGAAGAAAGGTAACTTGCCAACACCATCCA